CTGCAAGGGTATTATCTGAAGATTTCGAGTTGATCACAACCCCCTGCGACAGACGCTAACTCAAGCAGAATATCTCGTAAGGCCATTACCGTGCCGACCTTTCCGTTTTGCTGAAAGTCCGGTTGCGACGGGTTAGCCCCCAGCCTGTCACGGTCATCGAGACTGTCCTGGATGAGATAGCGAGACTGATTTTTTTCATGAGAACGAAGTGATATATGTGAACCGACAATTACAAATGGCTGACGAGGGCAGCGAGGCGAAGAGATGTTAGATTGAGATAGGGGGACTACAACGGGAGAACGATAGATGTCGACCAACCAAACTCCGCTGCTATTATTAGGTGGACTCAGGACACGACACGCGTGAAAGGTGCGGAGATCCACGGCGGTAGGACTGATATCGAATACACATGCATAACGACTGAGACGGGCTCAATCTACATCGTTCGTATCGACGCGGAGCTTCAGTCCGTTGCTATAGAGTGAAATCCTGCCTGAGGGAAAATTGCTCAAACCGCCGACGTCGAATCAGCAACACGATCGCATACTTTAAGTACTTACTATGGGGCCGGCGATATGGAAGAAGCGAAATGAGATCCGCGCCGTAGCAGCATGTACTGAGCCAACAAGAACCTTGTGGTATACGCTACATGAGTTGGGAACCACTCACCACATACAAGATCCACACCGTGACTACATCTACAAAGTACGCTGCTCTCGTCGGCTTGAAATGCTACTGATCATCTGGGTCTCTGTATAGGTCAACGCGACATCATGTTACTAGGGGTGCTTCAAGAAGCGCACCCCACTGCAAGCGGATCCGTGCGGATGATGCAAGGGCGACCTGCCCCAACGCAGATAATGCGAAGTCACACCGACTCATTGTTGGCAGTCTCGTTCTTCAAGGACGGTCGACGAGTTGTCAGCGCTTCACACGACAAAACCCTGCGGATTTGTGATATGCAGAGAGAATCATTGGTAGGAGGGCCATTCGAGGGTCACAAGGACTATGTACGATCAATCGCCGTATCTCCAGACGACAGGCGGATTGCGAGCAGTGGAGATGATAAAGCCGTAATCATCTGGGACGTTGAGAGCGAACGGATGATATTCGATCCACTGGAGAAGCATACAGGCTGGGTGCTGTCAGTGTGTTTCTCACCTGATGGAAAGAGACTCGCCAGTGGATCGCACGATAAGACGGTTGTCATATGGGATGCAGAGACTGGCGGTGTCCTTGCAACACTCGACAGGCATAATAATTCGGTCTGGAGTGTTGCATTCAGCCCAGATGGGCTCAAACTAGCCTCCGGATCAGCGGATCATTCAATCCGGATTTGGCGCTCCGATAATGCTGAGCTTCTTCTCGAAATCGACGCTCACCAACATTGGGTTCGAAGCGTCGTGTGGTCCCCTGACAGCCACCAACTTGTCTCTGCGTCGTTCGACAAAACAGTCAAATTTTGGAGCTCAGATGCCGGAACTCAGATCGGTCAACCTTGCACTAGTGACACTTACCACTCGCTCGCCATCTCTTCTGATGGCTCCTTCATTGCCACTGCCTCGGACGACAACACTTTGCGGCTGTGGTGCACAAAGACACACAAGTTGATGGGACAGGTACTCGAACACGCTGCTTTGGTTCGCTGTGTCGCAATTTCTCCCAATGGGGAGCTGCTCGTGGGTGGAGATGGTGAAGGGAAGGTGCTGCTCTGTTCTATTAAGAACATACTCGAGCAACACAATGCAGAGGAAGGGATATTAGAAGATGAAGAAGCACAGCAAAAACGACTCCCATTCAGTGAGACTCAGGTATGCTCATACTTATCATTGTTTCGCTCGTCTATTCATCCATTACCATTTGGTGTGGTGATAAATAGTTGCGCAGTTACGAGAACAACGAAAAGTTTCTTGGCAATCACGGTAGTCCAAGTAAATATCCCTCGGAAATTGACGAAGCCTCTGGCATCGATGACGAACACTCATTATTTGACGTGAGCTGCTCGCCTTCTATGTGCTCACTCATGACGGAATATGAACTTGCTTCATACAGATTCTCACTATACCGGCGACGCTCCGCAATGGATCCATTATTGACATCCTGCATACCGCTGAAGAGCTGCTGACCCAAGAGATTGACGCAGATGACGACTACGAATCCTATGCCAATCGCTCAGTTGTAAGGGCACGACATGCCGAGTGGGAGAATGCGCTTCAAGATGCAACCAAGGTTAGGCACTCTGCTTATCATGAAGCCGCTGACGACAGGTTGACTCAGCTTTATCTCATAGTCAATTGCAATCCAGCCCTCCTTATTGGGGTATATTTCTAAGGGCATCGCCCTCTGTGGCAACGGGCAGCTCTGGGACGCGATGGAAGCTTTCGATCTCGCTTTCATATTCTACAATCATAATCCGATTATCGTAGATCTATTACTATTGATCAAGGTATTTTCGTCGCTGTTTCCATAGTCTTCTTGCCGTACTAAGACTTTGATGGCATTTTGTACAGGCTGTTTCACTTTTCAATGCCAGTCGTCATAATGAAGCAATGCGGCGAGTTCAAGACCTGGCTACTACTTGTCAACGCCCACATAGATTTCCGTGCAGTGTTATCAATGTGGGTTTGATGTTCAACCTTACAAATTTTCTCACTTTGAAAACCTCCTCAGTCGTATCTACGTGCGCAGCTTGCGATGATTGATTTCGAGAATGGGCAATACAGCGAAGCTGCTGATCAACTCACGGTCAGTATTACTGGGTTGTTCTTACACACGACAGTTTTGGAACCTAGATTGAAGATATTCACGGTGGTGCGTCGCTACGAAGCCATCGAGGACACTTTTGATTGATCATTGTGCGCTATGCAGCTCTTCGGTTGGAATTTAGATTCGTTATGGGAAACCATCAACCAAAGACGGTGCGACGCGTTCCTCCTCGCTGGCCGGGTGATCGAAGCAGTCGAATCTTTTCAATACATGATGAGCATGATTCACGGAGCTGGGAAGGTCATGTGCATCGAATGGTCTACCAGTAAGTGTTTAAGGTAAAACGAATCGAACATCGACACTCATAGTAGTGCCGACTAGCCTTCAAACAAGACTGTACTGTGCACTGTGTCACGAAGGCACTCGAGGCTGTTGTTGCTCGCAACTATGAGATGGCTGTGGCATTGTATTCGGCTGCGATTGAGCTGGATCCCTCGAACGAGTCCCTATTTGCGCACCGCAGTAAGGTAAATTTAGAACGAAAGCTTTATGCAGAGGCACTTCACGATGCGGAAAAGGTGCGGATGATATGCATCCTTTTTTTTAGCGATTGTGCTGATGCCGCCGATGTGCAGGTCATTGAACTCAACTCTTCGTCATACCTTGGTTACGAAGTGAAACATGTAGCACTCCACAAGGCCCAACGTTATGATGAAGCAATCGAGGCCTTTAACATCATGTTCTCCAAGTTGGACCACGGTCCCGATGCCCAGAAACAAAGCAAGCCCCTCATTAATGACATGCCAACGGGAAGATCATTAACCCATTTTCCAGAGCTGCATCAGCAATATACCAGTCCATCTGAAGCAGAGGACACTATTCGACGGGCCGTTCACGCTCAACTGGAAAATGCTCCACTTCGTCTACTCAACACCTCCACTGGGCGTTTATGCAATCGAGAGACGCAGATACACACCTTTTTGGAAAGCACAGAGTACAAGCAACTTTTATATCTATCGATGATCCATGCGCCCCCCAAAACGGAGCTCATCACAGAAGCAGTCGCAGAGTACTTCAGTCGGGTCATGTTATCACACAGGTGGGAACAGAGGGAGCCACTGCTGCACGATATCCAGGACGAGGTCGTGTACGATTTAAATCCCGTCGGAACCATGGTCAAGCTGCAGACATTCTGCAAAACTGCTCGTGATGCGGGGTATCGTTGGGCCTGGAGTGATACCTGCTGCATCGACCAGAATAACAATGTTGAGCTCCAACGATCGGTGAACTCTATGTTTGTTTGGTATCGCCAGTCAGCTCTTACGATCGTCTACTTGTCGGACGTCTCGCCCTCAGCGAAGTCTGGCGCGCTGGCAAAGAGTGCTTGGAACACGCGAGGATGGACTATTCAGGAATTCTTGGCTCCCACAGTTATCCTCTTCTACCGAGCAGACTGGACCCCATATCTTGACGACCGCTCTCCCAACCACAAGATGTCTGCCACTATCATGCATGAGCTGCAGGATTCAACAGGCATAGATGCATCGTCACTCGTCACCTTCCGTCCGGGTATGAAAGGCGCGCGGGAGAAACTCCAATGGGCATCGAACCGTGTCACTACGTTGCAGGAAGACATCGCGTACTCATTGTTTGGCATCTTTGGCATCCACCTGCCCGTCATCTATGGCGAGACGAAACAAAATGCGCTCGGGCGGCTTTTACAGGAGATTGTCGCCCGGTCGGGCGACATTACAGCTCTGGACTGGATTGGGAAATCATCTCGATTCAACAGCTGTCTCCCAGCTGACATTACCTTGTATAAAGCCCCACCATGCACATCACCATCTTTATCCGAAGATGAGATGCAGATGTCCGTCTCCAGGCTGCAAAATGCTGTCACTGTGGAGTCAGCTTTAACACTTTATACCCTCCTTGATAACCTCAGCGCTCCTCGTTTCGCGAACTCCAGACTGCAACTACCTTGCATCACATTTCCCGTTACAGAAGTCAGGCGGAGGGGCGGCCAAGATCAGGAGACATGTTTCACTTATTTTGTCAAGGCAGACGGGCTTCAAGACCTTGTGATCACCACAGAGGATAGATTGATCCAATTCTCGCGGGCAAGGCCCACTCAGCAGACATTCCTTCTCGTCCGCCCATGGAATCGTTATGACCCCGGGCTGCTTGACTTTGAGGACGATAAGTCCATCAAAACAATGTCTATGCCCTGGTCTATGTCAGATCGTTCAGTGAGCGGCTCTCTTGACGAGTATGAAGAAAGTGTTGATTCGGAGTTGCCCTCACGAGCGTTACGGTTGATGGTTCGTCTTGGGCAGGCTTTTGGCGCACTTTTGCTAGCGCAGCAACGTGGTGGGGAGTACAAGAGGATCGCTTCGGATCACAATATTATGGCACGGGTCAAGGACATGACTGCCGTTCATGGCATGGACATCAGAATGCTGGAGATATTGTAGCCAGTACATGGATTTCAAAGAACGGACATCTATATACGTACGATAACGACGATTAAGATTGTATGGTCACATGAGACACCGAGGCGTTGTTTGGCGTTTGTTTGTCTACTAAGTGGCTTGGTCCTTGTCCTTGTCGTTCCCAACCCCCACAGGTCATCCTTGCAAATACTCATGTCAGCTTCGGAATTAGCTCTACTGCGAGTTCAAGAACTGAAGGCTGCAAAATTCCTCGCAGGTTCTGACATCAGTGGGAAAATTTTGTTGACAATCTTAACATAGATGCTCTTCCCTGCAAGCTGAGTTAAGCAATCAGTACCCTGGCAAAGGACACATTTGAAGATAGTTGTTCCTTGTGCACCATCTAGTCCCATCCATTTTTTTCTTTTTTCTCCAGTATGATATCCAAAGCACACGGTTGGGTTTAGACTGCTGATTCGGACTAATTGCGGAAGGCTCAGCTTGAGTCATTCTAGGAGCGCTACTAGGCTATGGTTGACATGTCTGCAAATCGCATGACGACTGATCTGGGTCTCATATGGCAGAGGCTGAGCTGAGGTTGCTCGTTCGCCTTGAACAGCCCTCTGGCGCTCTTTTACCAGAGCCGCAGCATCGTGGTGCGGAGTACAAGAGGATCACGTTGATATCACACGAGTGGGGGATATGAATTGCGTTCATGGCACGATGGACGTGATACGATAATGTAGTCGCATGCGTTTCGAAGAACAGAGATATGGAATCTAACACGTTTTCATTCATACCTTGTCAGAACCTGCATGGAACGATATCTCTGGGGATTTGTATCATATTGTGTGCTAACTTACAACAGGAAAGCACACCACCATGATTGTATTATCGAATTGTCGCTGAAGGCATCACCAAGAAGACGTTGTCTATCCCCACCGCTCCAGTCACTTATCATGTGCATATCGGTCATGGTGCGTCCTTGTCAATTGTCAGTGTGTTCGCTTAGCTTCTACCCGCAACAGCTCATCCCTACAGGAAGGTTATGCTCATTCACCTTTAGAAATACTTCTGCAGCAAATATGTGCACCGATGGCTGCAAGACCCCTCCTACCCTCTGACGTCAGGCTGTCGACAATAGTGCGGATACTACCGAGCCGTTGCCATCTGAAGCCGAGTTACCCCATGGAGTAGACGGTACAGCGTCACCGAAGTATTTTTACTACTCAGTGCTCAGCATCCGATATCCTATTGCGCCCACTGAGTCACGGGTACTCAACATGTGCCTGAGGACCAGGAAGGCGCAGCTCATCCACCGCAAGTTTTCGAGTCAAGCGGGAATGTATTGGACGCGTCGGGTCGGCACTCCTTCGGTTGAAATTATTTACAAAATGCTAGTGTCATGATTCCAAGACAGGATCCGGTAACAATGTGACGACCAGCAAAGCTACGGATTTCGGAAACCGCCGTCATTGTTTTTCGCTTCAATATAACAGAGGTGAACGGACGCCCGTGAAACTTGCCAGGTGAAGCTGCTGCTGCTTCTAACGGCACAATGTGATACTAATGCCTGATCCAGAATTTGAAAGCCGGTCAATGGTCAGGAGGGGAAAGCAACTCAAATCCCAATGAAGCGCCATTCGCCGACAGATAACACCAAAAATCGAGGAACGACAACGATCCGTCATGTGAATGGTAAGTTCATTTCCGCTATTAATCCGTTACCTCGGATTAAAGTTTGCAGTCCAACAAATCATAGATATCATTTGTCGGACTTCCTTTTCCCAGAACGAGTGTTGAGACTCTGAGAGCCTTGCTAAGTATACCGTAAATCGTAGGGACCCGACCAGTTGTCAGTTGCCACACAATTTTATCGTCTTTCCAAAAATAAAAAACAAAGAACAACATCCTCTAGACATTTATGCATTTATTGTGCCACTCTATCCTCGCTAGCGAAAGCCATCCACCTTCAAGCCGAAACAAGGTTCACCGCCGAAAAATGAAGCGTTATACTTACCCCTGGCCATGGTCGCCGCGAGATTACTGGGCACGCTGGAAGGTTTGCCGGATATATTCTTCGCGGCGAAGTTTGTGCGGCGGTCCGGTGGGTGGCCCGCGCCGTCAGTGGTTCCGTCCACGGATTCAGGCAGTACTGCTTGGAGCGACAAGAAGCGCACCAAGCGATAGGATACCGGACTAATAATGGCCACAGAGAGACTTTATCTGATCATGTTATGCGCGTGTCTGTGATGATGCGTGTTTATTTGCTGATTCTAGCTGCGCTTGTACTGCAGTTTGGATAAGATATTCCAGTTGCCGTGTTTCTGGACGTATTTCACGAGGATGATTGAGGATGGAAGATTACTGGAGACGACTGGAGACGGCAGTAGCCGCGCGGGTCCTTCTATTTCTTTTTCCAATTGGGTGCTTCCCAGGCTCTCACTCCTAAACTCCGTAGCTACTGAAGACGGAGACATGGAAGCGAAGTTCATTTGGAATAATCAGCGGGCAGTTGCTTTACGAGGGCGCAACAACAGGCATTGGTGGAGTTGTAGGGAAGCTTGTCGGTAGTTGAACCCCTGTGGAAAGGACGCGTACTCATACAACTTCAGATAGAACGCATCATGGATGCCACGAGCTTGCGATGAGGCTTTCAGGGATCCTTCCACCCACTCACCCATCTATTTGTTCACCACGTATGATATTTTGCGAGTACATACACTCATGTACAGTAGCATGAGTCTATACATAACATTCTACAGTACTGGTCATATGATGAATCACTATCCCTGTGATTCAGATCACGGTCCGGAGATGAAGCATGAGTGGGGTAAGATATTAGGTTTCATCGTGTGGTAAGTACGTAGTTGTCCATAATGATGCTGCCCCACCTTGTTGCGAAATTAGGTCGCACCTGGACCTGGGATGAACATAAAGTTAACTTCAGCCTATCAATCTGCGATAGACGCTCGCCAGGGGGGTTAAACGATGCCCCGGTACGGTGTTGGCGAAAGAGGTCAGCCTTGATGTAAAACGTGCGACCCGCCGATAGGTCGCTAGATCTCCTTAATTGAAGACGCGAAGAGTGGTGACTGTTCAGCTCATTGCATCGTGTTCAGTTGACTTCAAAGAAAGTGTGAATTAAGAGAGGGACTCCCATCTCCCATACCTTAATCGGGAGCTATCAGGAGACGTACTAATCGGAAGGTAGAGCAAACTCCGTGGCGTGCGATCCTGCGTACGTTCGTAAAGTCTTGTTGTTAGTGTACGCCAGTCTACGGCAGCGATGATCGGGCTGCGGCGATGGTGCTTTGTCAGAAAAATTAGTCGATGCAGCATCCGCTGGATTCGCCAGGTACTGCGGAAGACTGCAGAGCATTGCAAGCATTCCGGGCAATCAGTGTGCGGGTACGCAGTTGCCAACAGATCCCCCGAATCGATATCGGATCAGTGTGCCTGGACCAAGTCAGAGCTGTGCAACAACAAGATCTTGTGTTTCAGCTTCGAGATATATCTTCTTGACAACGCCGGACCGTGGAAGATGGTCCCTGTCTTATGGCTATTGACCAACGGATTTCACGTCTTGCATCCCGTTACAGCTCCATGATGAGATTGTGATAACTTTAAAAGACGCTTCAGAAAATGACAGCATGGCCTAGGGCGTGTTCGAAGAAGAGCCCGCTATCTATAATCCGAATCCGATAATCGATGGTCGGCAAGAAAGGAAACATACTGCAAGTAAAACATGTGCAGAGGGTTATTGCATGCTGCTTATTGGTGCAAATTTTGGCCTTTGATGCTTTATTCCAAATTGTGCGACAAACCTGTGGATCCGGCGTGTCAAACGTATACCGTCTGAGAGATATCTCCGACTTCCGATGACGGAGGATAGCCTCGTGAACAACTCGTGAGATGACCAAATGTGGACGCCTTTGGCAGTTTGGACGTTGTGTTGCTCCGTCTGAGGCCTGACGGCCACTATGGTGGATTCCTGTTGTGGAAGAGCGTTCCACCAAGCACAGCGAAGTGCACCGCCTAATTAGGCATGTTTGACCCTATGTCCGTTAGTGAAGGGGAGGCTTGATTGTGGGTATTTGCGCTGCGGCGGAACGCAGGAGAATATGGATCAGTCATGAGCGGGTGAATCCCGCCGTGGCGGGAACACGTGTTTCGCACACCGGTCATGTTATATGACCTGAAATGGGCAAAAAGTGTGAGACATAAACGGCTCCGACTGGTATTTTTGCCAATACCTAGGCGCCGTTGACACAGAAAAGCTGTTAGTCCCGTCGGCAAGATTCGTACGATAGCCTTGGCTGGCCTTTTGGTCGAGTCATGCTTTGAAAGCCGCCAGGACAAAGGGCGAAATACCCTAAGCCCTAACCCTAAATTAGAACTTGTACATTGCATAACCATGAACTCTATTATTCATCCGATTTGTGATCCTGAAAGAAATACCTGGAACATGAGGGGGCTCTCCAGAAAATGTCATGGTACCTACAGATGGCAACTCATAGATGAAATGAACATATTATGAAGATGGCGTGTTATGTGATTGACAGAAGAAATATGATTTGTTTGGCGTCAAGCCATGCGTGCAGTGCATTGTTTGGCTACTTTTGGTGACTTGCCGTCATTCAGATTTTTCACTTCATGCTATTTATCCACCACCAGGTCAAGCGATACCCCTTGTCAATAGCTTTCTAACTAGCAAACCTGGCAAGGGTTTCATCGTCTTGACCTCATGCTTACGCTTAGTCCTGGTTCGGTCTGCGATGTGTGCGCAGAAGAGTACGGTCCGCACTGTGTTCCTCACTCCATTCCGTGCGGTGAGCTCGCAATCTTTTCATGATGTGGGAATTTTTTTTAACTCGAGTCATAAAACTTTCTATCCCGTAGGTCACGTCCTCTGCTCTAGTTGCTGCCATAAAATCGTAGAAAAGACATTACCCCGTCTCCAGCCCGTCTGTCCATTCTGTCGGGATCATTTTACCAGCGAGGATGTGCGTTTGATCCGCATCGACTTTTCAGCAAGCGGATGGGCCACTTCTCGGCGGCGAGGTGGTCTCACTGAGGCTCTTGACATTGCTGACCGCTCCACACCACGACGGGAAGATCGTTTTCCCTTCGTCGAGCCGGGCTCCTCGCGTACTCGCGCAGAAGCCCGCAGGCTGGAGGATAAAGTGGCAAAAGTAGCCGCTAAAAAATGCTCAGTGGAAGAGGTTTCGACTCTACACAACGAGCTACAAGACTGGTTGACTCATGATGAAAAATCTAATGACCAGGTAATTTTCTTTTCTTGTTTCAATGTTTGCGGTTCCGCTAACTTGAGTGCAGTTGAACTCTTCTTTATCCTTGAGTGCTGCGCTGCTCAGGGCAATTTTGATGAATCACTTCGCTCATTCGGAAGCTACGAAAATGGCAAAGGGAGTCGAGGCCACCCTAAAAGGGAAGCTAGACGACGCGGAATTAACAATCACTAAGCTAGAAGCCGATTTAAAGCAGTACGTAATCTTCGATCTATACATTTTGCTTGGCTGACCGTTCTTCTTCTAGACAAGTACGTTATAGCTTGGGGAACGTTGTGCACGCCGCTCACCTTGTTTTCTTTTGTTATAGCAAGCCCTCCATAACCAAAAAGTCCAAGAATGCCAAGCTCTTCGAGCAGAGCTTAGCCGTTATACTCTTAAGTCCGCTTCCTCTCAGGCTGCAACCTCGCCTGCCCGCCCCAGCACCGCCGCTCCAACTGGATTAAGCGAGCGGCGTCAATCAGTTTCTTCATCAGCAGCATCCACGTACAACGTACCAGCTATGCCATCCATGCTCTCGCGCTTTGCAGCTACTCATTCTCGAAATGCCTCCGCATCTGTGTCAGGAGGGTCGCGACCAACGACCCCCGCACGCATGACGGCACCATCAATTAGGTCTGAGACCCCAACACAAGCATCGGTGCTGTCGTCTCGCTTACGTGCTACGTCCCCAATCCCCCCCTCAAGACCGCGGACCATCTCCATCTCCGCAACGTCGCCCCAAAAAATAACTCGTTCGCACTCCGATGAGCAGGAGAGGGAACGAGAACGGATTCACGAACGTTGGATGCCGTCACCAAACGTGGCATACAGCCCGCCGACAGGCAAAACTATCAACTATCCACCCTACTTTGGTTCGTCCCCAGCTCCCGGCCGTGCCCGCTCCTCGTTCTCAACAAACGCTGCTTAAAATTTTCCTTTTGGATTTGTCGTTGCTTGGTTTCAGTCTAGCGGTCCCAGGACTACTACTCTACTTGTCTCATATTGCTATCTGTCGCCTAGTTCTCGTATCCATCTGTCTCATCTCTTTTCGTTTCTCTCGCATCTTTCTCATCTGCATCTCATCATTCGCGCTGCTCCTTACACTAATGCTTTATTTCTCTGTAACCTATCCATTTTGCTTTCTTGACACCATTGGCTTTGGCAGGATTTCTCAGCCATTCCCGTATTCGTTCCTGTTACTTATTTCCTTTGAACATTTCACCCCTTAATAAGGAGCGCGTTTTTATGTGCGTTTGATTGCACAGCACATACTTCCTGTAGCATTGCGTCGTTTCCTCTTTCCTGCTTTCACTGTCACTAGCGTTCCTTGCTCTCGCTTATCCCTTTTCAGCCCTCTCCATCCTCCGTCCCGCTTCCACTTCATCCGCTCCTGATCGATTTCCCCTTGATTCCAGAACTTATCCGTTGAATCTATATTCATCCTCCTCCGTATCCCCCTTCCTCCCCTGCCATTCCTAGCCGCCGAGCTTTCAGATATACCGTCTTGCTATCAGTTACTTGCTTCTTACGATGGGTTTGCGGATTTTAGTTTCCGCGGACTCCCTTACGCGTTTCGATGATTCTCAGTACTTACACAGTAGTACATGATTTTTACCTAGTAGGTGGATGATAACTCTAGCGTTCTCATTCACACTGCCGTCGTTGATTTCATATTGCAATTGCATATTGTCGTTAAAGATTTGTGACAAAGTTCGATCGAATTGGATATGAAACTTTAAACGCTTCAACTGTTTCGAACATTCAAGTGCTCTCCGCGGATAAGTGGTTCGAGAAACTGGTTACCTGAACGCTGGCGCGGATTCAGTGTTTCAAAATGTTAAGCGTCAACGTAAACTTGGGCTTGTGCAGGGGTCTACAAGTCCATGGCTATAATCACATGCTATTGGTTCAGCATTGAAGATGCGGACACCGCTTATCTCAGGCTCTACTTACTTCACCATTGACAAACTTTACTTTGTCTGCTCCGTGAGCTTTCGTGAGTTAAACGTTCTTCATGCTTATCACCCCACGAATAGTATTCACAACTTCTGCACCATTCCAGCGCACGGGCATTTGTTTTCGAGTCATTTTCGAGTCCCTGAATTCTTGCAGCGTGTAAAACACGCTGCCTTCCCGAACAGGTACAGCGCCGATGAAACGAGGCTACGAGGCCTGCGCATCATCGGCCTAACTGCGCATGACCTTACACAAGGCCTATTATTTCTGCTGATTTTCTCGTCGGATATTACGCGAGGGATTTTCCAGGTAAGCGTAACTCAAAATGGAGAGTTGCAACGTTGCAAACACATGCGTTTTGTAGAAGGGTAGGTGAACCTTCGCTCACTGCAGGACAGGATCCTTCTTTCTTTATTTCCTCCAGCGCTCTAAGCGTTATCATTCTCCGCTCCGCCGCGTATCGTGCGTGTGTAGCTGAGCATGAATTTGGTTTGTGACGTGAATGATATTTGGCCCTAAAACGCGGTTGCTGGATGGTGCGGATGATAGGGGACCTTTTGAGGTTTGACGTAAATTGACTGATACGATCCGTTCAGTGGCGAGCGATTTCCTTTCGGACTCATCGATCGTCGATCAGCCTGATTGAATTGAGCCCTGCACACTGCGTCCAATGAACATACACAGGAGCCGTCGATATTTTTCGACTCCTTCGAGTGATAGTGTTCTAGTGAAGTGTTCTTGTTGGACCTTGGGACCAGTGATCATCGATATCCCTAATACGAGGAAGCGACTGTCTTCTTTCGATAGGCTGGCTAGGGTAGACTAATCAATACCGTGAGTCCGCTTCTATCAGTTGCTGTGTATCGAATATATTCGGCCGTTGCCAGTGAATGATAACATGATAGGGTATAGGACGTGCTCAATTGGGACATGAAGTCGCCGTGCTGGTCGTATCGCAATCACCGCCAGCAACCAGCTCATATCATGAGTAGTAAATATCAGGGCCGAATCATCCAGCATATCATATCATAGTTTATTGATACAAAGACTACAAAGTTAATCGAATACTATACAGCAAAAAGGTTCAACGCGAAGGGTGAGTAGCAGGGGCCTGACACGGGGAATGCACACGATTAGAAAGAAGCGCACAAAACAAATCGAACCAACGCTTACGCTGCCCAGGCCCAACGCAGATGCAATCTTGTTGTATTCCTCGCTAGTGGGGGTTGCAGTACCCGCGCAAACTGTGCATCATCAGTCAGATTGAGTAACGACAGTGTCTAAGCGTACTTTGGGACATGCGGGCTTGGTCACTCTGAGTGACGACAGCGAGCTGCTGTGCGCTCATGCCTGATCGAGGGTCATAATGTTATTGTAGTGATCGAATATGTACAAGGACATGCGTACCCTTGTTGGCGAGGGCGCTGGAGAAGGCCTGGCAGACGGTCATGGTGAATGGGTTGAGGTAGATATGGGATGATTAGATACAAGTTGCAGGATAAGAGACCCTGATGTATTTGATCTGTTTGATGGGTTTATATATGTGACAGGTCAACTGATTGATCCATGATGGACCGTTGGACGCCGTATTAGGGATTTGCTGCGGCAGGTGACCGGGTGACCCTACCGAGAAGATTATCTGATAAGGCGTCTATATATGCAGGATTTGATCATGATGTGCTGGACTGAAGAAGCGCATGCTGTCCACTTACAATTTAGAGAAACAACAGACATGTTTGGAAAGGAGATAGCAATAGGAGATATTTCATGATTCTGCTAGCTGTATTAAGCAGGGTCCAACTACACGTAAAATTGACGCAGTCTATCGCGATTTTCGAGTATGTTTCTGTGAGTATGCAGACGGCCTCGGAGCCGTGATAGGAGCAACTAGTAAAAGCGATGTGCACGAATATTGAGATCATAGCACATACACGTTGATGAATAGCAGCCATCGACTGTTCTAACTTCTCATCTTCGAAGCGGCCGCTTCGCTATGGATTTGGAGGAAGTTTGATACTCATGTAGCCATTTGATCTATGGCAAGTTTGCAGTGAATAGCATGAAGGAGCTTTCAAGGGACTTGGTTGCATAACACGATCCTGTCTGCAGCAGGTTGCTAGCTATTAGCTAGGATGTATGCGATGTAATTTGAATTTCGCATAGTACTAATGTTATTATTTGTTCATGTTTGCACAGTTCCCCATAGCCGCAAAACCTTGCTTCAGATTCCTCGACTCCAAGGCCCATATCGCTGAATATACCTCAAGCCCATCAAAATGGTGCGTATATGGTTCTGTACACCGTCCTGTGGTATTGCGCGCCATTAATTTGAGCATTGTTTTGCCATTTTGGCCTGTTGTTGAGATGGATTGCAAGCTGACTTTTGGATGCACAGGCTCCGAAGAAAACCAAGGTCGCCAAAGAAGAGAACACTGTTTCGCTCGGTCCTCAAGTTGCTGAGGGAGAGCTTGTCTTCGGTGTTGCACACATTTACGCCTCTTTCAACGACACCTTCGTCCATGTCACCGATCTTTCCGGCAAGGAGACCATCTCCCGTGTCACTGGTACGCGTGACTCGCTATCTTGGCAAAGATATTTAGCTACATGATGATTGTGAATAGGTGGCATGAAAGTGAAGGCTGATCGTGACGAATCGTCCCCTTATGCCGCTATGTTAGCTGCTCAGGATGTTGCCACGCGCTGCCGCGAAGTCGGCATCACTGCCCTCCACATCAAGCTCCGTGCAACTGGTGGCACTGGCACTAAGACTCCTGGCCCCGGTGCACAAAGCGCCCTCCGTGCTCTTGCTCGCGCTGGCATGCGCATTGGGCGTATCGAGGACGTTACGCCTGTTCCTACTGACTCCACCAGGCGCAAGGTATGCGCTCTCACCTGTTTTGAGGAAACTTTGTTATTAATTTTCTGACAGGGTGGTCGTCGTGGTCGTCGTCTGTGATCTCCATCTTCGTGTTATTACTATGGGATTCCCGAAGAGCCAAAAATTGCTATGCATGTAATTGGAGTTACAAATGATATGTCGCCGTTCGACGCGCATCAGGTTTTTGCCTGCCCCGCGGTCGTTCACCTGTTTGTGTCTCTAGTATTGTGCTGTCAACATCTTTGTGCTTCGTATCAACGCGTGATGAGTATGAAAAACACGTGAAATTTGACCAGGTGTTTGAAACCTTCCGCTTTATGTAATATTTCTTCTTCCTGTTTACTTACTTCCTGTGCATACCGCCAACATACCACAATACTGTACATTCCCGGCCTGAAGTCACTGAATGGGAGGAGCAGCCAGCAATGGAACTCATGATCGTGTATAGATTTTTGCGCAAGATCTCGGACTGGACTTTGTCTGGTTTCTATTCCGAGGTCTGCATCACAGGAGGCGAGAACGTGCCGCGGGACGGACCTGTGATCATGTACGTTTCCCGTTCATTCTTGTAGCAAACTTATCATCATGAGTCGTTCAGTGCTGCGACTCATCATAATGAAATTATCGACATTGCGGCGCTATGTGAGCTCCTCAACGAGTTCTCTTTTTACAACTTGGATAATTTAAACAACCGATGTCGCAGCCGCGACGATATCGTATCGTCGTAGAGTATGTTACTGGGCAAAGTCATCTCTTTTCAAGAACCCCATATCCGGCGCTCTGCTCACTTCCTCAGGAAGCATCCCCGTTTACCGTAACCCCAACAGCTCTTCATCATCGTTTCCGTCGAATAGGCAACAGCTTGCAAGCAAACTTATTTCGCCATACCTCCGCCGCTCTTGCAGCTGGCAAGGTTATTGGTGTATTCCCCGAGGGAACGTCGTACACGGAGCCCAGAATCGTGCAAGTGAAGGACGGTGCAGCGTGGGCTGCGGTAGGAGTATGCTAAAGCCATGAATTTGTCCGGGAAGGAAGGCAAGGAGTTGGTCATTGTCCCCGCAGCGGTAGTCTATACTGACAAGTCCAAGTATCAGAGCAGAGTAAGTTTTTCAAGCATTTAATGTTTAATCTGACCGCATGTGAGCCGTAGGTCTGCTGTCAGGTAGTTACCTCTGTCTATCGTTGAGTAGCACAAGCTGAGTAGGATCTGCGGACTGCTTAGATATGGCAAACCAATAGGGGTCGGCGAATATGCAGCAAGACTGGATCCGGAGAGTGCTGAGAGCACGCGTTTTGTGGTTAAAGAGATCACTGCTGCGATCGATTCTCAGCTCAAGCACATGACTGTGAATGCTCCTGACTGGTGCGTACCCCTCTATCACGAAAGCTGACTGTTCCATCATTTTGCGTGATTCAGGAAAACACTCCGTGCGGCTTGCGCAGCAAGAAGGGTGTTTTGGAAGAACGAGGATCGCATCCCGCTTGACAGATTTGTCGGAATCTCTCAAAAGTGAGTTTGATGTATCTTGTACTTCTCAGTCTCCCGAAGTTTTGACGATTGTAAGGTTTGTCGATGCATTGTTGCCAAGAAGCGATGAAATGGAAACACGGAAGACCATTTTGAATAGATACCTTGCGCTTCTGCACTTCACCGGCACTTCTCATTCAGCTCTGGAAGTCCTCTACCCATTCGTCGATCACAGTGAAGACTTTCTTATGCGAGCCCTCCTTTGGCCATCTCGTATCCGCACTGGTGTGACACTCCTGTTCCAACTATGCACCACCATGTTTCACCCTCGTGCCCTTCTCTTCTTCCCAGTATTCGTGGTTCACATTCCAGGGTATATCACTGGCTGGTTCGCTGCACGGATGTTGACGATACCGAACGAGGAAGAGACCAAGGCTCAGTTTAAGGCTATATTTGGCGGTCTGGGATTTGCCATATCCTATGGCCTGCTCACGCGAGCATGCGTGAAGTCCGCCGTGAAGTTCACCGACCCGGTCCTCTTCCCAATTCGCAAGGGAGGTATTGCTGTTTTCAATCACAAGGTTTTACGATTATCGGCGCTGTGCGACTGCCTTGCTGGAAGACAGGGACTATTGAATAGAGCGCTCGGTACTCTCGCTATGGCAGTTGGGATGACTTGGTCCCTTTGGAAGTGGCACAACGCCCTTGTGTATGGCAAGTGATTAAAGCTTTAAATCATTTATGATGCTCATTTTTGCGAATAGTGAACTATAGGCAGTAGGTGATCTGAGTTGAGACCGTAGTCATGAATCTGACATTCATACAGATGGAAGCGCTTTCTGACTGCCTTCAGGGTTTTCACGGGCCTCCTGCTCCCTCCATCTTTTGATCTACCAGCTGATCAACTTCTAGCGTATTCAACTTTACCACTTCCCGTAGAGAACCCGTATATCAAGCGACACGTCGTTGAGGACCCTCCCAGAAGTAGCAGTGCTCTCGTTGGTGAGGCAACCCACACAGTGACACAATCATCTGTGCGGAATGCCGACAACGCGGGACCCTGGTGCACAAGGTCCACCGATTCCCACAAGGCGGCTTATACGGCACCTATTCTCTGCTCGTTCTGAGGCCTGCCGTGCATTTAAAGAGTTATCGGATAGACAGACGCTGGGTTGAAGTCAAGCAATCATATGTTCATGGAATCTGATACGTTAGCATCTCGTACATTTCTCGATTGTCTAATATATTTGCCTTCAAGGGACTCGGTCACTCAAAAATTTGAAAGCATGTTGTTGCGAGGCAGTTGGACGAAGTGCATGCATCTTCTTGTGTGTTGTCGTGGTCCCGACTAAATCCACTGGCAATAGGCGACTCGAAATATCTATACGTTTAGATCCTCCTGTGATAATTTCACCTAAAACGCCGCCTAGGACCAGATGGATTGCTCATGAGGCTTTTCAGGTCAAAGGTTTATAATCATGGACCTTTGGTACATGAGCTAAACGACCATGTAGCTCATGAAAGGTTGTCCTCACCACAGCATCGCTGTTCAACGTCTTGGCGCCCTGCGAAAACTGACTTGCATTTCGCTGTTCGAGGCATCATATTCCCGGAAGCTGTGGTTACTGTTGTGTCAACAGTTATGCTACCCTTGCTGAGTTTTCGCAAGGGCGGGATTTATAGACATCAGAGGGAGGGGTACAACATCTACCACGATGACTACGACCTAGGGGCTGGATAAAAAGTCATGGTAAACGCCGATCTAATGCAGATCAAGATGTGCATCAAAATTCAAAGTTCGGTAGCAACTTTATGTAGTACATCACATACTTTAGTAGATGCCAGGTGTGAGCCGGTATTTGACTTAGTCCAGTTCACCTACTTGTCTTTGGCGATGGACTTCATCATTTCATCCTCATTTTTGATTCTAAGCATGAGGACCATTATAGCAATCATTCTCCCCACCAACACTGCCAACATAATCACTTTCACCCCAAGGATATTTAAAACGCCTGAGCAACTAAACAATGATGACGACGATCCGTGCAAGACAAACTTCCCGATTCCCGATGGACTGCGAAAGCGCTCCCAGATAGGATGGATGGCAGACGACCGAGTATGGTCCAGTCGTGACAAGCGTGTGCTCATTGCGAACACTAAGGTGGAATGTGAAAAAAAACGATTGAGAGTGCGGAAACACCACCGGCGGAGTAATCACCCTGCAACCATGAATGCGGTGCCAGGAAGGAATTGTAAATTGGTAATGGGTACGTCTTGAATTGTTTGAAGTAGGGCGGCTGTGTTTTGCATCCCGCTGGGAAGACGGGTGGGGTCTAACACGCGAGAGGCAATGATAGCGACTTCTACAAAAGCAACAGTGCCTTGGGGTATCGTTGCGAACGGGAGTCCATATTTGAGATCTTGGATGACCATTCAATGGAATTTCAGTGAACAACATCGTTATTCATGGGGGCATGGGAGGTATACCAGATGCATGCCAGGTAAGTGGGGACGAGAGAATGAGTGGTATTTTCAGGAAGGACTCCATCTTGGTGAGGTAGGCTAGGCATTGAGGGTGCTTTTGTCCATTAACTTATGCACTGTACCCTGCGGTCAGGGGTCCAAGCCAGGGTATTAGTCACTGTACATACAAGGTTCGAGGTACAGACTAGGGGTTTTGCATCCAGTTATAGTCTGACATTGACCTCAGATGAATAACTTTTGTACGACCTTTCAAAAAATGTGTGAAGGAAACTTGTGACGATTGCAAATATTTGGAGAGAGTACTTGCTTGTGTACACGAGCTATGAAAGTTTAGGTGCAAACTTCTGGCCAGAAGCACCGTGAATATCAGAAAGTTTAGGGTTTGGGCAGTCTGTTTGAGGTCTGTACAGACTGAGCCTGTGTGTAAGTCTGTAGGTCTCTATCAGTGTCCTTCTGGATTTCTGGTCAGCATGAGATGTTGTTAGTGGCCAAACATTATACGACCCTTCATATTAGAAGAACCATTCCGAAATTCACCCACTCAAAGTCTTTGCTGCAATGATGCCCTCAATTGTGAGGCATGCAGGCAAAACAGAGCGCACATTCCCTGATCTCGGCGCAAAATAATCTGCGTGACAGTGTAATCTCTTAGTCAACACAT